GAAGGAAGACTGAAGCCCGCCAGCGCCGGACCAGCAAGGACCACACAGCAATATCCTAACTCAAAGAAAACAAATCAACAAAAACAGGAACAACAACTGAACAAACCAAGCAGAACAAAACATTATGGAAAGACAGTGATAAAACAGATACTCCAATTCTATTTACATGGGCTGTCCGGGGACGGAAGAGGACTCCTGATGGCTGCAACAAGGAGGAGTGACCGCGAAAACGTTCTGGATTGATTGTGGTGACAGCCGTCCAACTCTGTGGCTACACTAAAAACTATAACTGCATACTTTGAATAAACTTATTGGTCGGCAATTATATCTCTGTAAAGCTACTGATAACTATAAAACCCCATAGGCCACAATATTGAACAAATATTTCAAACTTATCTAGAGTCTGAAGCCTAAGATCTCTGCAGACCTTTAGTCTCCCCCTTTTCAAATGCAAGCACCAAATCTGAAGGTTTCAGGGTTTTACCTAATTGTACTTAAAAGAAAATAAATGCATAGATAAAATAGGAGAAAAAAAAATCCTCTCTCAAAACTTGGGTCTTTTTGCAGATTCTACCATCTAGCTTCAAGATGCTGCAATAAGTGGAAGGAAACTGTACTGTATTCCACCTATCTTGTCTTTAAACCTTTTTAATCGGGTCTCTTCCACACTCTAGTCCCAAGGGAAAAGAAGCTTTCCCAACCCTACCCTACCAGTCCCACCAGCACTATGATCTGAGTCTAGTAACCGCTCCTTTCTCAGATCCCTTCCTTGGGTCCCTCCATTCTGACCACACCTTCCCAGGAACATTCACAACCATTTCCATAAAGCTGCCCACTCCTTATGCCTGTCTCAATCGGCTTAGGCACTCAATCAATCCCTTCCTCAGACTCCTACAACTTCCACCTCTTTAAACCCACCCCGGGAGTAACAGTGAGCTCCACATGCATACCGGACACCGCACAGGCATTTAGCATGTCCCAAACTAAATTCATCTTCTGCTCTGGAACCTTTTCCTACGATCTCATTTGATCAGTTCCACTTATTTCTTCTCATATCCTTTATCCACTGTACTAAACGGTACCTTATAGCTTGACTATATCCCCAGCTAAAAATCTTTGTGTTATAATACTATGTTCACTACCTGGTAAACCACTGAGACATCTCCCTTCTCCCTCCACCCAAGTCTAGTATTCAGCCCTAGTTTTGAGCTCAGGACCCTCAGCCTTCTGAGTGCTGGGACGACGAGTAGGTACCACCACACTGGGCTTAAGGCTCATCAATCCTCACCAATTCTGTTCAGATCAAGCCCTTCCTGCCAAATAACTACCTTTCGTAAAACATTCCACGGCCCTCCAGAGTCTATTTTCTCAGAATCTCGGAGAGCAGGCTGAGGTGTGGCGTGGGGAGAGGAAAGAAAGCCACAGGAATGCTAAGCTAGCACATTTGCTGATCTCGGTAATCTCACTTTCCCTGTGACCCTAAAAGGTGTTTCCAACCTGTAGCCTTCCACATACACCCCAGGATAAGGAAGAACACAGCTCAACCAAAAATTGCAAACTCATTTAACATACTAAGGTTTTTCTGGGGCATTTTTTGTTTTGTTTTGTTAACTCAACTGCATGGTTTTCCAATGAGAATCTGTTGCTGACAACTTGGTGTTACAATGTCAGCAGGCTGAGATTCCTGCAGGAGATACAAGGGGAATTGTGCACAATCACCATTATGACCCTATAGAAAATATAAATATTAAATACAGTAAGATCCCTCATGAAGCGGCAGAAGGAAACCTCTCTTCACAACCCAAACCCTACCTACCTGTCTCAGACATCAGCTTTTGTCTGCACTATATACTTGCTCTTAGTCCTCAGTACATGGTTAAGGATGCCTGGTCAGTAAACTCCAGGGATATTTATGGAGTAAAACCTGACGCTGGGGCTAGAGAGATGACTCAGACTCCATTAAGGGCACCAGCGATTCTATAGCACCCATAAGACAACTCACTATGTCTTTAATTATGGTTCCAGAGGACTGACACCCTTTTTTGAGCTCTTCTGGGCATCAGGTATACACATGGTACACTAACATACACATGGGCAAAATACCCACAAATATAAATAACTCACTTAAATAAGTAAAACTTTTAGAAAACCTGTCAAATACCAATGAGTACCAACATCTTAGTCTAAAAGCTGAGAGTAAAGGTGAAGTCCAGACCTGTCATGTCGGGACTCATGTGCCTGGAACCATTTGCAAAATCTTGGTGCCCATGTAAGGCCAAGAACAAACCAAACGACAGTGAATTCCTTCTTTCCTCTGTTCACCTTGCAGACAAGGTCTCACTCTCAAATAAACTAGGCTTGTCTGAAACCCCCAACCTTCCTGCCTCAGCTCCTGACTGCTAGGACCACTACAGGCCTGTTGAGATAGAAATCTTTCTATCAGTTGTAATTAAGAAATTCAGCTAGGCAAATATTTCTGGCACTTAAGGCTAAAGAATCCAGAGTCTTTAACGCAGGTAGCGGCAGCAAGTTCAAAGCTAGTCTAGGCTCTGTGAGATCTAGACTCAAAAACACCAGGAAGAAACGAAAAAAATTCCAAATCAAACAAGATACAATTTCTAAACCATTAAATAAAGTCAAGATAATTACAATATATATATATATATATATACGTAAACCTTACTGACATTTGCCTTTTTAAAGTTGCAAATATATATAAATGTTGTATTCTCTGATCTAGTACACTTCCTGTAAAGAGATATTAGGCAATAAACAATGCAGAGGCTTTATTCATGTTAAAGTATTTAATTGAAAATATAACAGACTAAACATTTGACTATAAGCAATCAGTAAACTATAATCACACTGTGACACAGTCACTTAAATTATTGCTAGAAAGTAGCTGTAACTAGTAAAAGACACCAAAAATCTGAGTTTAAAAAACCCCCAAAGACAAGAATATAACACAGGTATGGCAGGCTCATATCTTAATTTCAAAATTAATATTGGGAGGCAGGGATCAGTTCAAGGGCAGCCTGGGTCACAGTGAGCTCAGTTCCCTGCCCCTGAGGGGGAAAAAAAAATTCCAACTACCTAAAAAGCCTGTGTACTTATTGTGACACAGACATTACAAACAAACAGGGAGAATAATGGAAACAGTCACAGTATGAATGACCAATCCACCTTCCCAAGCACAAGCATTACCATTACTGGTTACTACTGTTAATAGTATCCTAAAATTTCCAATCTTGAAACTATATTGCTTTATAATGAAACAGCTGTTATAGCGGTCTCTTTTAAGATTCAGCTCTACAATGTTAAAATTTTAAAATGGAGTTTTTAATCCACATCAGAAGATAAGAATAACAAGTCAGTTTATCAGGATCATCTTTGATTCTCTTTCCATAACAGAAGATAGTTCCTTTCCAGCCTTCTAGTTCAGGGGGAAAAAAGAGCCAACCGCCAAAAGTCTTAATTATAGCTGTTGCTTATCAAGTCAGGAAATAAAAAAAAAAAGCAAGCACTATAAAAGAATAGCTTTAGTCATCAAATCTCTAGTGTAGAATTACCTAGCTACTTTGGTATTATGGAAGAATGGGAACAGAATTCACAAGAATGCCTTGTGAAATGACATCTCCAATAGAAATCACTGACTCACCTCCAAAGCAAGACGCGCAAGGCCATATCCCCTGACTAGAAGTTCAGGGACTGGGCGCCTGTCTGAGCGGCCTGCATTACCAAACAATGCTCCTTGACAGAGTATATCCAGGAACTGCCAAGGAGCAGCCAGGGACCACATGGCCCTTCCATAACCAAGAAAGGCTGAAACCATTATTTTTAAACAAATACATAAAGTAAATTATTTTCTTCTACTTTCCTACGGAGTAGTAAAAAGGGGACTCATCTAATTTCGTAAATGACATTCAAAAGAAACAAACACAATCAAAATTCTTGATGGTAGGAAGGGAAAATTACACTTTAACCTTTATAGATTAAAAGTCCTTTCCCCCAAACATTACCTAAATAACAGAAAATGTTTAAAATAAAGGATCTACATTTCTCAGTCTACACCATACACTACATAAAACCTTGCTCCTACTTTCTAAATTTACAACTCTGAGAGGTGGGAATCACAAAACTCCACAATGCCATTAACACTGTGCCAACTTTAACACTAAAGTCCTACTAGACAGAAATCTCTTTAAAATACGAAAACAACCTTCAGTACTAAAAGTCACTTCGTCTGCACTTTAAATAAAAACTCGCCAACGTTTCGGACCCATTCCTTCTTATAAACCTCAACCTTGTATGGCTCTTCGTAACCAAATTTCAGGTTGAGATGAGTACTACTGGAAGCGCACCTTGTCCGGGAGCACATTTTTTCCCTAGCTCATTTCCCAGCCCCCGCTAAGGAGCGAAGGACTTCCTAAGTCCCATTTCCTTTTCCATTCCCCAGACCTCCAGGGTTTCCAACGCCCCAGTCTTGCGCAACATCCGTAGGAGCAGCAGCCGCAACCACGGCCTCGTAAGCCGGGAAACAACCCTAGAGGGAACATTGTCCAGCAGAAAAATAAAAGGAGCGGGGAGGGGGGCAATGTAGGAAGTCGGTTGCTGGTCTCACGCCTTCGGAATGGACACCCCCCCAATTACGTACCTAGAGCAATTTCACCTACTGGATTTTAACCCTCACCCCCCACTCAAGCCTGCCTATACAAGCAGAGTGCGGAAGGGGGGGAGGCGGCGGAAAAGGGGGGACGGGAAGGTTATCTCCCAGTTCAGGGCTTCAGTCCATACAGTCGCCTCCACCCCACCAGGACTATTGTTCCCAAGTTCCCCACCCCCACCCCGGATAGGAAGTGATAGTCACATCCCCTCCGGCCCCGGCAATATCCCCTAGGGTCCGGAGTGAGCTTCCTCCACGATAACCCCCGTCCACACCGACACCCCCACCCCACCCCACCCCCGCCAACCTAAAGTCACGCCGGCCCCACAGACCTCACCTTAACCCCGGGTCTCTGAAAAAGAAACCGGACGGGACCAACGGAGATCAGGTAGAGCACGAGATTCCGTACGGACAACCCTTTGGCAAGCGGTGATAATCACCGTGAACTCGGAGCCGGCGTCGTTCCACCGTCCCCCTCGGACCCAGGCCGGCAGCAGAAAAGGGACTGAGCGCCTGGACACCAACACCGCCCTCGCTCCTGCTCCCCGCTCCGCCGGCCGCAGCCCGACGGCTCGCCCCGACCCTCCCCGGAGGGGCAGGCGGGGACGGCGGGCGTGGGC